CTGACTAAGAGCGAAAGTTGCAGCTCCTGTAGTTTCCAAATTCTAGTGAGAGGGCACGAGCATCTAGGCGAGAATTACAATGGATGTCAGTCAACCAGTCTAACGAATCTTAAGTTCTGCTTCTTCTGATGACTCAAGTCTGCATTCAACAATGAGGAGCTATATGTACTTGCTATCTTCGCGCTGGCCGTCTGCGTTATCCAGGCCTCCGCGATGAGTTGCTATAGGATGTCAGTCGCTGTTCTGAGCTGGCATTATGCACAAATGTTCCTAAACCCTAAACCCTAAACCCATCCCGTACGGAATATAGTATAGACACCTTGGTCCGTGGGCCTAAAGAAGGATGTAGACTAACGGCATGACATGGCATTGAGTTCGAAGAAACCCTAAACCCTGGGATTTGCTTTACAAGCCAATATAGGAGCCCCAATAATTGCCCATACCAATTTTTGGGGTTCCTTCGTATGATTACAGTATAATATACCCCCAAACCGTGCTCCAATTATTCAGGCCCCTACATAAAGCCTTGCAGTTTAGTTCAGGGACTTCGGTGTTCACTTCACGAGCTTCGGGCGGGGACACTGTCGCTGGATGTACCCCAAAAGGGTTCCGGGTCAGGGTAACACTAAGCCCTGGATTCTAACAGGCCAGGGTCAGGGCTTTAGGGCAGGTTCAGGGTGTTGGGTTTCAGTTCTAGGCTCAGGTATTTGAGGGCTCGCGTCTAGCAAAGAGGATACAAGGGCTTTGCAAAAGTACCCGCATACCATGATTGCTTTGGGTTTCCTTGGATCAGATCAGAAAGCGGCGCAATAGCAGGGGACCAGAAGGTGGAGTTTATTCATTGCTGGATGATCTGATTTGTGGACATGGTTCCTTACGATAAAACGGATGAAGTGTCCTGAAGGCCAGGGCAAATATCGACAGGTCTTGCCACCGGCAGTTCCGACCGAAGCCTTTAGCTGATTGCCGCACGTTCAGGATTCAAGGGTAGGGTTAAAGCTCTGGAGCTGAGCCTTTGGGACCATTTAGTTGCTGTGGCTTGTTGGAGCTATTGGTGACTTCGGGCTTGCGCATGCCAGCTGCGTGTCCCACACTGAAGCCCGATATTTTCAGACCTTGCAGGTTTTGCCTCTTGTGCTTATCTTATATATTATGTATTACAGAGTATATGTTGTAGACTAGTTATATATATGCTACCCCCCCCTGGCAGAATCCGCGCATCCACTGTTTGTAGCACCCAGGTGTTGTGTTTAGGCA